ATACAGAGGATTTATATTCAATGTCAAGTTACAACCAACTGGAGGGGAAAAAAAGCCTTGTTAAAAGACTATTACTCGGGCTGGGGTTGTGGCTCAGCGGTAGAGCACATGAGAGGCCCTGGATTCAATTCTCAGCACCATGTAAAAGTGACTAAATAAAAACAAAGGTGTACAAGTAAAAGAAATAAATATTTTTTTAAAAAAAGACTATTACTCTACACATATAACTAATAATATGTCATATTACATAGTTGAAAACATTTAGATTTTTAAATTTAAGAAACATTTAGTTACTTTTGAGGGAAATATAAGATATAATTTTTAATAATGATAATAGAAGTTAATAGATCTTTGGTGAAAATTAATTATTATTGTGTCCATAAACCCCAAAATTCATAAATGTGAAATGGAGCAGGGGTAATCCACATCCCAAGGTAGATGAAGCACAGGGATAAATCAATGCAGCATTTGTCAATATAGAAAAGCAGAGTGACCACTTGTTCTCTTGATCTCAATAATAATTGCATTTAACTATCAAACTCCTTTTTGCAAGGACAAAATGATCAATCACTAGGGAAAGGGTGGTTAATGTAGTCAGTAAATTTTACAAATGTGTGGCCTTGCCACCTCTGTTACTTCACCCCAAAGTTAAAGGTGAACAGGGCTAGTCTTTGAAAAAAATAATCAAGTAATAAAATACTAAATTGTGGGGTGAACTTTGCTTTAAGAAGAATGTGACTGATCAGCAATGTTGATGAATTTTCCCAGTGTAGCTTCTATTCCACTTTCTATCCCACATGGCTCCATTGTCTAACTAGGCAAGTAGTAGTTGCCAAAAGGTCCCATATAGGTTGAATTAGGAAAAACTACAAGTGTTCTCTCTTCACCAGATCTTTGCCTTAATCTGATTAGGACTCCAGTCCCAGCCACAGGGGAAATGACAAGCAAATCCATAACACCCAACTCTTTGACTATAGTGGAAAGAAATTTTATCAATAGGGTTTTTTTTTGTTTTTATTTAATTATATTTTATCGTATTCTCTGAAATGAAAGACTATTTTTTATTTTAACTATTTTTTTAATCCCCATTTTTCCACTTTAAGTAAATGCCTTTATAGACACAGACCAAGATTGGCAAGCAAACATTTCACTTCACAAATACAAGTCTCTCAAAGTGTAGCTAAGACCTTCTTAGAAAAGTAAATTTTAGTTAATTTTTGGGTTTTGGCACATGTTTGAGCAATGTAAGTCTTTTTTTATTTTGTTTTTGCTTTTTCAGCAAGCTTTTCTTTATTCAGTATTAAGCGGCAGAGTCAATCAGTCAAATCTCTGGTATGGCTCATTTTTAGGACATAAAATGGCAATATAAATCATTTTAAGACCAAGTTTAACATATAAATCTACTGAAAAGAGTATTAATTCCAATAGAAATTTGGGAACATTTTCTAAATGTACCCAAGTGTTCTTTACATACTAAGAAAAAAAATCTAAAACCTAGGATTTCTACCTTCCAACATAAATATGTTCCCATGGGACATCTAACATAATGTACTCTGTATATAGATTTAATAATTACTAAACACCTCCCATTTCCAAAGGATATTATTACAGAGAGTAAAAATTTGAATCTTTTTTTGGTTGTGACTATTTAAGTTAATAAAAACTGATCTTTTGGGTCTGGGGTTGTGGATTAGAGGTAGAGTGCTTGCCTAGTGTACATGAGACACTTGGTTCAATCCTCAGCACCACACAATAAAAAAATGAAGATATTATGTACACCCATAACTAAAAAATAAATTTAAAAAAAGAAAAAAAGAACCCTGATCTTTTGGAGTATACTAGTTATCTATTTTTCTTAAATGTTTAGGGGCTTTAGTACCATAAATGTCACAGGGAAGTCAATAGATTTTTGTTGCAGAGGAGGCTGAACTTCCAGCTTCTCATTCTTTGAAATTATATGAGAAAGAATACATGAATTGAACAGAAAAGAGTTTTATATTTTACTGTTAAAGTCATGATTTGGCCAGGCACAGTGATGCACACCTGTAAGGGAGGCTGAGACAGTGAATTGCAAGTTCAAAGCCAGCCTCAGCAAAAGTGAGGCTAAGCAACTCAGTGAGATCCTGTCTATAAATACAAAATAGGGCTGGGATGTGGCTCAGTGGTTGAGTGTCCCTGAGTTCAATCCCTGGTTTCAAATAAATAAATAAATAAAATCATGAATTGGTCCGTTCTCATGTAGGTGTTTTTTGTTTGTTTGTCAGAATCATTGCTTCTGAATACAATATACGATTTATCTTCAGGCTATTGAGTGTGTTGGTCACCTCTGTGTGTGTTTCATTAGAGTTATTAAAGACATTGCCAATTATTCAAATACCCAGAACTATATTATTAAATTCCCTTACTTATGGATATAACTTAGTGAATATAGAAGTACCATAGATGTAAACATTCTTAGATCTTTTTTTTTTTTTCATATTTTAACATCTCTTAAAATTGATGTCATCTTATACTTATGTTTGGCAGTATTTTTCCTTTCTTGGTGGTACATAAAGCAATGATATGTTGATAATAAATAGATGATATCTTAGATATCATGAATAAAATAGTATAATTCAGTGAAGAAAAAAATATCAAAGCCTTTTTATCTGCATTAGACATTAGAGCCTACAAATTCTAGTAATCACTTTTGGCATAACAGGAATCTCATATTCTGGAAATGGAACGTTTCAGTGAGTTTGCAACTTTTTATATGTAGAGTTTTCTCCTGGATGCATTTGTAGACAATTAGAAAATCAAGGGGGCAGAGGCAAAACAAATGTAAATTATCTTTGCTGTGTATTTTCATTTCCAGCAAAGGGTTTTGATTTAGGTCCAGTATACTGAGGAAGTGAAGTTTCATTCCCTCCCATAATAAGGACTATAACAAACTGGTCAACCTATTTGCTAAATCAGAGCCCAAGACCACGAACTCAGCCACTAATGTTCTGGATTGATATTTCAACACAGAAAAAACAGAGCCACAATATTTTGGGGAAAATAATATTTTACATCTTCTTATATTTTTATACAAACTAGAAATTGAGTTTGTTAAAACTTTTAAAAAATATTTAGTTTTTGTAGTTGGACACAATACCTTTATTTTATTTATTTTATGCGGTGCTAAGGGTCGAACCCAGGGCCTTGCAAGTGCTAGGTGAGCGCCCTACCACTGAGCCACAACCCCAGCCCTTGTTAAAGCTTTTCAAATGAGACAAAGACCTCAAAAAAGAAATGGAGGATGGGTAGTTTTTCACAAGCATGGGTGCTATCTTTGTAAACAGAGTACACCACATAAGAATCCCTTATCTCAATGCATATTTATTGACATGGGTTTTGGGCTTAAAAAAGAGAGAGAAAGTTAATCTCTTTTTAATTCAGCTCCCTGATGAAAAAAACAATTTTATATTATGATCAAGGGTTAATATTAGTGTTGGACTTCCTCCATAGTATAGCATATAGCAATGGCCTGAATCTATTTATAAACATTTTTTTAAAAACTCAAGGTTAATTTTCTTAGTTTTATACTATCATGTCACAATGATGTACCAATGACATTTATATAACTAATTCCTATGTACTTTAACTCTGGAAGGATCCTAGGAATTGTTACATAGTAACAAATGCCAGGCAGAAATAGAACTTTTCTACAAAGAAGATATTACCTTTGAGCTATTTAAGGCTATTGCTGGTATATATATATATATATATATATATATATATATATATATAT